AAGAAAAAGACTAGAAGCCCCCTCTCCGACCCCAAGAAAGAGACTAAACGCCCCCTCTCCCCCACCCCAAGAAAAAGACTAGACGCCCCTGTCCCCCATGCATAGAAGTTGTTTCTTTAATTATTGAGCACCCTCCACCCACACAGATGTGTAAGAAGGTGGATGTGAAGTATCTATACCCTCCCTCCACCCACACAGATGTGTAGCAAGTGGATGTGAAGTATCTATACCCTCCCTCCACCCACACAGATGTGTAAGAAGGTGGATGTAAATTATCTACACCCCCCCCCCTTTTCTAACCACACAGATGTGTAAGAAGTTGGATGTAAATTATCTATCCCCTCCCTCCACCTACACAGATGTATAAGAAGGTGGATGTGAAGTGTCTACCCCCTCCCTCCACGCACACAGATGTATAAGAAGGTGGATGTGAAGTATCTATACCCTCCCTCCTCCACCCACACAGATGTGTAGCAAGTGGATGTGAAGTATCTATACCCTCCCTCCACCCACACAGATGTGTAGCAAGTGGATGTAAAGTATCTATCCCCTCCCTCCACCTACACAGATGTATAAGAAGGTGGATGTGAAGTATCTACCGCCTCCCTCCACGCACACAGATGTATAAGAAGGTGGATGTGAAGTATCTACCGCCTTCCTCCACCCACACAGATGTATAAGAAGGTGGATGTGAAGTATCTACACCCTCCCTCCACCCACACAGATGTGTAGCAAGTGGATGTAAAGTATCTACCACCTCCCTACTCCACCCACACAGATGTGTAGCAAGTGGATGTAAAGTATCTATCCCCTCCCTCCTCCACCTACACAAATGTGTAAGAAGGTAGATGTGAAGTATATACCATTCCCCCCCCCCCCCGCCCTGGTTTCTTTGTGTCGGCAGGCACCATAGGCATAGATCTAAATACAAATAATTTCTGTGTCAGCTTGTTCTACATGGTCACAGTCAGTGATTCGAACAAACTGCTTTCAGAGCCAGAGGCAAACGGCTTGGCCACCTACTTGGCCACAAACACACATCACTAAGATAATGTAAAACAACAACTGTTTTGTCTGTCCTTGCTCCTCGATCATAAAATCTATGTATATCAGTAATTGTCTGCAACAGGCACCACAACAAAGAGGAGGCCGAGGGGTGAGGGGGCCCTCCGCCCTTTTAGGGACCCCCCCCCCCTAAGTTACTGTTATTGTGCCATCGAAAACCACGCCTATCGCTGGTTTGGTGAAAATAGAAACAGACTGCATGTCTCGACAAAGCGAAGCGTGAGCGACGATCCATTACAGCCAACATTCCATGTGGAGATGGCACCTAACTGAGTTCTGCATGGAATGTTCTTACTATGTTTACTTTAAACAAAAATACACAGAGAGCATCATCGTTAATCAACAACATCACCAACAATAACATCACCAACAACAACATCACCAACAACATCACCAACAACAACATCACCAACAACATTCCCAACAAGAACATCAGAAACAACAAGAACAACATTACCAACAAAAACATCAGGAACAACAAGAACATCCTCACCAACAAGAACAACAACACTAACAAGAACATCAGAAACAACAAGCAGGTAGATTCTCCCATCAGATTTATTACCATAACGCTAAAACCCAAAAATATATTAAACAAATACGCCAATATTTAGCTGTATAATTAAAATGTAACATCAAGGGGCTGCTGGGGTAGGTTCTGCAACGTCCTGTGAAGAATACACAACTAACTTTTAATTAACATGGTGGTATGGTCTACCCCTCTCGCGGTACTGACTACAGCTTGGCCGCTATAAATGTGCCACCAGTCAGACATCGTCACAGACTGAACGAAATGATTGAGCACGTCCCATGGAGAATCCAAACACAAAAAAAAAGTTGCACGGTTAAAAAACAAAAGCGTTATTTGTCAATTTAATCTAAGGCAACACATGAAGTAGTGTGGACATCTTAATGAAACTCCATCAACTGCGGGTAAAACATGCAACCAGATAAGATCTGTATTAGGGGGCAGAGAAAGATCATAGAGAGTGTTTGGTAGTAGAACCGTTAGTGTATTAAACATAAACATACATGCCACAATCAAGGCAACACATCCGAGTTTTTGGCTTCCTGTCACCGCTATGTGTGGCAACACATCCGGGTTTTTGGCTGCCTGTCACTGCTATGTGTGGCAACAAATCCGGGTTTTTGGCTGCCTGTCACTGCTATGTGTGGCAACAAATCCGGGTTTTTGGCTTCCTGTCACTGCTATGTGTGGCAAAACATCCGGGTTTTTGGCTTCCTGTCACCGCTATATGTGGCAAAACATCCGGGTTTTTTGGCTGCCTGTCACCTCTATGTGTGGCAAAACATCCGGGTTTTTGGCTTCCTGTCACTGCTATGTGTGGCAAAACATCCGGGTTTTTGGCTGCCTGTCACCGCTATGTGTGGCAAAACATCCGGGTTTTTGGCTTCCTGTCACTGCTATTTACAATTTACGTTATGTTGATGACACAGTCTTGATAGCAACAAGTCAGAAAGAATTACAGGAAATGAAAGACATTGTGGTGTTAGAAAATGGAAGAATGAGCCTCAGTTTGAATAATGGGAAGACAGAAGTAATGGTGTATCAAAGAAACGAATTTTTCCTAAGTGTTTAATAAAAGTAGGTATAGCAATGTTTCGTTTATTTTGCTATACATTTTAGTCGGTAACTATAGACGCGACTGCGACCCCAAAATGCAAAACGAATTGTCCGTTATTGAGAAATTATTTTTCTGTGCTCTTTACGTGAAAGATAAAATCGGAACAGTTATTAGGAGTTATTGGAGAGATGCCAGGCTTTGACCTGAGATGGTTTTGACGCATATAAAATAAATCGATTTCTTTTTTGGCAGCACGCAGTGAATTAACGGTAAGTAATTTCGTAAATATCTTCTTAATTAGCGAGATTACCGCAATGTGTGCTGTATCTTTGAATTCTGCGTTAATTTTTTATATAAGGTGGGAAATTTCACAAAGATTGGCAATACAACACATGTTTTAAAAAATTGTTTAGTGGCATCACTGTTTTTGCTTCAAATCCAATAACGGTAAGAAATTTCGTAAATATCTTCTTAATTAGCCAGATTACCACAATGTGTGGTGTATTTTTGAATTCTGGGTTAATTTTCATACAAGTGTGGGAAATTTCACAAAGATTGGCAATACAGCACATGTTTAAAAAAATTGTTTATGGCATTACTGTTTTCGCTTTAAATCTAATAACGGTAAGTAATTTCGTAAATAAACTTCTTAATTAGCCAGATTACAGCAATGTGTGGTGTATTTTTTAATTCTGCGTTAATTTGTATATAAGTGTGGGAAATTTCACAAAGATTGGCAATACGGCAGATGTTTAAAAAAATTGTTTAGGAAGGGGGTGCGGCCATCCCGGTATCATCACTGTTGGGGGGGGGGGGGGTGTGCGGAGATACGACCACCCCGGGTGACATCGCTGTTATGATCTTTATGTTCGCTTTGCCAGGACACACAATATGATATGTATTAAGCCAGGCTCGTTGGCAGACAACTGTAAATGTATAAGGTTTTAAATGAAAAATAATCAGCCTGCATACATTTTTATATGTTAAATAGGCGCATATCGTAGTGTATGTAATTGAGACATAAATAAACGGTTAGGTCTCACTGTCCCGATTCTAGCAATATATGGTTGCTAAGGCATTCGTTCAGAAAAAAAAGTTATGGCCGTAAAATGCAAACATTGAGTCATTTCATCTCACTGGGTCGCAGCCGGGAAGCCATGTTTTATGGATTTCCATTAAAATTTTGTTGTCGTGGTGTCCGCCACTAAAATGTTAATATCTCCGCTTAGAATCGACTTACAGGCTTAAAAGAGGTACCATTGGATTTGTAATTTTAATCTTTATCTAGCTGTTATGATTTCGTAAGTAAAAACCTAAAATATAAAACTTTACTAGCATGCCTAATAAAAGTTGATTGTGTTATTTTAGGACAGGTACAGAAATGTAAGTATCTGAGTGCATTGAGATAAGAAATAGAATAGGACAGGCAAAAATGCATTTTATAAAAATGAAAAACAATCTTGTGCAAATGTCATTGAGAGCTAGAAAAAAAATTCTGCTTGCTACATACATTCCAGTTTTAACATGTGGAGTGAATCTTGGACAATGGGTAGGCAGGCCAAACAATGGCAAGTGGTTTTACACATAACCTTGGACAGCCAAAAAGAGCAACCAAGTAGGTTTTGAAAGAGGTGGTGAGACCGAAGACACCTTATCACTCAGAAGGAGACGTCATCAGTTTTTTCGGCTATGTTATGAGAAGAAGGAAAAATAGAACATGTTGTAACCATTGGAAAGATATGTGGAAGGAGAGATAGAGGAAGACAACGAGAGAAGTTTGACAGTCCTGTTGCATGCCATGGAGGTGTGTCGGCACACGAACATGATACATATTGTGGATATAGTAGCATGGAGAGGCACGCCATAGCCAGTCCGGGTTTTTAGCTGCCTGTCACCGCTATGTGTGGCAACACATCCGGGTTTTTAGCTGCCTGTCACCGCTATGTGTGGCAACACATCCGGGTTTTTAGCTGCCTGTCACCGCTATGTGTGGCAACATAAGCTCATCTCCTGCGGTATAACGTATCTAGCTTTTCTTGGCTTCAACTGTCTGAATAAAATTTTCTTCACTCCTTATCCGCCCAGTGGTTACCATTTCTGCTCCTACCAATACCTTAACTCCTTCTATTTCAAGGTCTTATAATTGTAGCATGATAAGAGGCACATAATTAATCAATTACAATAACTGGCTTGGGTAGGACTAGTTTAGCTCAAGCTTGTCTTTGACTGAAAGATTCAGGGACAGGACATACTACACTTTATACAAGTAAATGATAATAGATAACAGCTGGCTGATCAATTCAAGAGCGAAACAAAAATGGATAGATAATTCAAATAATAGCAAAAGCTCTAATCCCGGAACTCAACGTAATCAACCACAAGAGCGGACTGGTCGCCTTGCCAAGTGGGCAGCCAGTCGTCGCGGGCTGTCCAGAAGTCCAGGTTGGCATGAGGGGAGTTGTTGGCCCAGGGTTTTCTCACACCCCAGTTAGCAGTGTCCGAGAAGTAGCCGTTGATTCCTCCAACAGCAACGTTGAGGATCAGGTAGAACTGAAATTAATAATCAGGATCAATGATAATATCGTATGTACGACTGATTGAAATTAACAATCAGGATCAATGATTATATCGTATGTACGACTGATTGAAATTAACAATCAGGATCAATTATTTTATCGTATGTACGACTGATTGAAATTAACAATCAGGATCAATGATTATATCGTATGTACGACTGATTGAAATTAACAATCAGGATCAATGATTATATCGTATGTACGACTGATTGAAATTGACAAAAGGTTACTATAGCTAATCTTATTCTTTTCTTTTTCTGTTATAAAGCCCCCAGTGGAGCATAGGACCACGAATAAAGCATCTATACTACAGTCTGACAATGACACAGTCAGTATCTATGTCTTCTGAATCATCACTTATATTGTCCTATCCTGCCCAATATTTTCTTCACACAAGGCGTTATGTTTAATAATTCCACTTGTATCTTGTACTCAAGAAATCACGACCGATACCTCAGACATAGGCCTGATGTCCTAACAGTTTCTTGTGATGTTTTCTCTGGAAAATGTCCTCAGCGCCAGCAAATTAACTGCTAGCTCAACCCAGACAATAGTGCTGCACTGCATTTAGGAATCTGACACCGTTTGAGAACCATAGTCCTTGTCGATGGCTTCGGCGGAAAGGGTGTAACTAGCAAGACCTGCTCGGGTGTCTCAAAACAACTGTCTATAGTAAGTGTACAGGGGTTTTAGGACCAGGGTTATCACATGTTTAACGTTGCATATTGCCATTCAAAATGATCTTATGATAAGCAGGTGGCGCCTTTGCTACGCCAAGAATGCAATGATGTTGATGTAACTAATGCAAGAGCAATATCCGGGTACAATTACACAGCTGTTCCTAATTTGTAAATCGACGTGATTTTTGTGTGGAGTGGGTTAGGTATCCCATTTCTGGCAAACAGTGTGGTGTGGGTTAGGTATCCCATTTCTGGCAAACAGTGTGGTGTGGGTTAGGTATCCCATTTGTGGCAAACAGTGTGGTGTGGGTTAGGTACCTTATTTCTGGCAAACAGTGTGATGTGGGTTAGGTATCCCATTTGAGGCAAACAATGTGGTGTGGGTTAGGTATCCCATTTGTGGCAAACAGTGTGGTGTGGGTTAGGTATCCCATTTGTGGCAAACAGTGTGGTGTGGGTTAGGTATCCCATTTGTGGCAAACAGTGTGGTGTGGGTTAGGTATCCCATTTGTGGCAAACAGTGTGGTGTGGGTTAGGTATCCAATTTGTGGCAAACAGTGTGGTGTGGGTTAGGTACCCCATTATTGGCAAACAGTGTGGTGTGGGTTAGGTACCCCATTTGTGGCAAAGAGTGTGGTGTGGGTTAGGTATCCCATTTGTGGCAAACAGTGTGGTGTGGGTTAGGTACCCCATTTGAGGCAAACAATGTGGTGTGGGTTAGGTATCCCATTTGTGGCAAACAGTGTGGTGTGGGTTAGGTACCCCATTTGAGGCAAACAGTGTGGTGAGGGTTAGGTATCCTATTTCTGGCAAACAGTGTGGTGTGGGTTAGGTACCCCATTTCTGGCAAACAGTGTGGTGTGGGTTAGGTACCCCATTTCTGGCAAACAGTGTGGTGTGGGTTAGGTACCCCATTTCTGGCAAACAGTGTGGTGTGGGTTAGGTACCCCATTTCTGGCAAACAGTGTGGTGTGGGTTAGGTACCCCATTTCTGGCAAACAGTGTGTTGTGACTTCTGGAGTAAAGAGGCGACGATGATATTGGGGGTGACGGTGGCGGTGAAAGGGGGGGGGGGGGGTGGAAACTGCTACTTACATCCTGGTCGAAGGGTGCCATCTTGCTGCCACTAGACCAGACGTTGCTGCTGAGGCCTCCAAACTTCCAGAAGCCATCGGCTGGTGCGTCCACTGACAGAATCACCTGATCGTCAATGAAAGTCCTACAGAAGACCAAAGACATGGCTCAGTTTTTACTATATTGCAGTGTGTGCAGAATTGTTCTGTTGCAATACAAGTTCATCAGTTGGCATGAGCAAGAGCTGCTTGGCTATAAAGTCAATGCTGGCAGATATTACACACTCCTGACTCCCTCTTTTAGCATGTCGATTCTTCGTTTTAAGAAGGAGACACAGCAAGTGTGGGAATATTTCACGTGCAGTGATGTCAATTCTGGATTTATTCTTTCATTCATTCATTCACTTACACATTTATTAATTTATTTATTCATGTCGGTTACACATGACTGGACTACTGTGGCTCCATTCTAAGGTAGTTGAATGGAATATCTGGGAATCGCCCTATGGTTTGACATCAAGGATGAGATTTGTCAAGTCTCACGCAGCAAGTAACTTTTCGCTAGCAGCTCTAGGGGATAAAAAGGGGAAAGGCGGGGGAAGGGGGGAGCGGAGAGGCAGACCTGGTGGATGAAAAAGAGTCAACACCAAAAAATTAGAGACCTTATGTGGAACTGGCCAAGATGTGATTTTAACTACAGGTTGACGACAATACTCATATGATAACAACGACTGATCTGATGAAAACAGCTGCTGATCTGGCAACAACTACTGATCTGACGACAACTACTGATCTGACGACAACTACTGAATGATGACAACTACTGATCTGAGGACAACTACTGAATAATGACAACTACTGAATAATTAGAACTACTGAATGATGACAACTACTGATCTGACAACAGCTACTGATCTGACGACTACTGATCTGACGACAACTACTGATCTGACGACTACTACTGATATGCCGACGACTACTGAATCACGACTACTAATGATCTGACGACAACTACTGATCTGACGACAACTACTGATCTGACGACAACTACTAAATGATGACAACTACTGAATAATGACAACTACTGAGTGATGACAACTACTGATCTGACGACAACTCCTGATCTGACGACAAATACTGAATGATGACAACTACTGATCTAACGACAACTACTGATCCGACGACTACTACTGAATGGTGACAACCACTGAATAATGACAACTACTGAATGATAACAACTACTGATCTGACGACAGCTACTGATCTGACCACTACTGATCTGACGACAACTACTGATCTGACGATAACTACTGATCTGACGACGACTACTGAATGACGACAACTACTGATCTGACGACAACTACTGATCTGACGACAAATACTGATCTGACGACAACTACTGATCTGACGACAACTACTGATTTGATGACAACTACTGATCTGATGACAACAGCAGCTGTTCTGACAAACAACAACTACTGATCTGACAACAACTACTGATCTGACGTAAGCTACTGATCTGACAACAACTACTGATCTGATGAGAGCTACTGATCTGACGACAACTACTGATCTGACGACAACTACTGATCTGACAACAACTACTGATCTGACGAAAGCTACTGATCTGACAACAACTACTGATCTGACAAAGACTACTGATCTGACAACTATTGATCTGACAACAACTACTGATCTGACAACAACTACTGATCTGACGAAAGCTACTGATCTGACAACAACTACTGATCTGACAACACCTACTGATCTGACGAAAGCTACTGATCTGACAACAACTACTGATCTGACAACAACTACTGATCTGACGAAAGCTACTGATCTGACAACAACTACTGATCTGACAACAACTACTGATCTGACGAAAGCAACTGATCTGACAACAACGACTGATCTAACAACAACTACTGATCTGACAACAACTACGATATGACTTACTTGATGTGATCTGGTGTCCTCTCTATTTTCCACACGTGAAAGTCATCGTGCCAGGTTTTTCCAGCTGGACTGGATCTGTAATAAAAAGTTATAAACGGGTTACTGTCAACTACAGCCTACAAGATAAAATGGCGTACAAATAAATGTCAAAACTGTTAGCTCAAAATTCCACGCCTTTAGCTACCGACCTCAAAAAACGTCTGCATCTGTCCTAACCTAGAATAGAAGTGAGCCACAACCTCATGCTTGAATGTATATGTTATCAGGGAAGACATAATGTGTTTCCTGGCTAGAAATAACAAGACAGGATTGCGGTTAAAAAGACTGTCTGGGGTGGTGAGAAATATGTGGGATGTTGTTCACAGGCATTGGAACCTGGGTGTCAAGTCCCTTGAGGGAAACCCCAGTATTAAACTATAACATGTTTGAAGCGATGGTGTAGTGGGGGGACTGAGCCTCCCCCGCCACCCCCACCCCTCCCAGGGATCGAACCCGGCACCACGCAAGCCACAGACGCTCATGCAATTCATACTTGAGGGACGCAATGAGAGTTTATACACTTTTCTAAAACCTACTTTTCTGCATGACTTGAGAGCCATTTATTGTTTAATTTACTTGTCTGCATGACTTAGGCTCCACTTATTTAAATTACTTCTCTGCACCAGTTAGGCTTCTATTATTGTTCAACTTACTTTTCTGCATGCGTTAAACTCCACTTATTGTTGTCCCACGCATCTCCCCAATGGAGGGTACTACTTACAGTCTCCACTCCCAGCGGGCCAGCGTTGCCTTGGAAACACAAGTCAAACACATGTCAATGTAACTGATTGGACAATTCTAGGTCTCTCTATAATTGTTACAGATTAGAGGGCAAGCAAGAGTGGACAGTCATTGGCATCAAGAGATGTCAGTAATGTGATATCAGTAATGTAATGTCGGTAATGTGATGTCAGTTATGTGATGTCAGTTATGTGATGTCAGTTATGTGATGTCAGTTATGTGATGTCAGTTATGTGATGTCAGTTATGTGAAGTCGGTAATGTGAGGTCAGTAATGTGAAGTCAGTAATGTGAGGTCAGTAATGTGAAGTCAGTAATGTGAATTCAATAATGTGAAGTCAGTAATGTTATTTCATTAATTGGAAGTGAATATTGTGATGTCAGTAATGCGATGTCAGCAGTGTAAGGTCCGTAATATGAAGTCAGTTATGTGATGTCAGTAATGCGATGTCAGCAGTGTAAGGTCCGTAATATGAAGTCAGTTATGTGATGTCAGCAATGTAAGGTCCGTAATATGAAGTCAGTTATGTGATGTCAGCAGTGTAAGGTCCGTAATATGAAGTCAGTTATATGATGTCAGCAGTGTAAGGTCCGTAATATGAAGTCAGTTATATGATGTCAGCAGTGTAAGGTCCGTAATGTGAAGTCAGTTATATGATGTCAGCAGTGTAAGGTCCGTAATATGAAGTCAGTTATATGATGTCAGCAGTGTAAGGTCCGTAATGTGAAGTCAGTTATGTGATGTCAGCAGTGTAAGGTCCGTAATATGAAGTCAGTTATGTGATGTCAGCAGTGTAAGGTCCGTAATGTGAAGTCAGTTATGTGATGTCAGCAGTGTAAGGTCCGTAATGTGAAGTCAGTTATGTGATGTCAGCAGTGTAAGGTCCGTAATATGAAGTCAGTTATGTTATGTCAGCAGTGTAAGGTCCGTAATATGAAGTCAGTTATGTGATGTCAGCAGTGTAAGGTCCGTAATGTGAAGTTCAGTTATGTGATTGTCAGCAGTGTAAGGTCCGTAATATGAAGTCAGTTTATGTCGATGTCAGCAGTGTAAGGTCCGTAATGTGAAGTCAGTTATGTGATGTGAGCAGTGTAAGGTCCGTAATGTGAAGTCAGTTATGTGATGTCAGCAGTGTAAGGTCCGTAATGTGAAGTCAGTTATGTGATGTCAGCAGTGTAAGGTTCGTAATGTGAAGTCAGTTATGTGATGTCAGCAGTGTAAGGTTCGTAATGTGAAGTCAGTTATGTGATGTCAGCAGTGTAAGGTCCGTAATATGAAGTCAGTTATGTGATGTCAGCAGTGTAAGGTCCGTAATGTGAAGTCAGTTATGTGATGTCAGCAGTGTAAGGTTCGTAATGTGAAGTCAGTTATGTGATGTCAGCAGTGTAAGGTTCGTAATATGAAGTCAGTAATGTGATGTCAGTTATGTGATGTCAGTTATATGATGTCAGTTATGTGATGTCAGTTATGTGATGTCAGTTATATGAAGTCAGTTATGTGAAGTCAGTTATGTGAAGTCAGTTATGTGAAGTCAGCAATGTGAAGTCAGCAATGTGATGTCAGTTATGTGATGTCAGTTATGTGAAGTCAGTTATGTGATGTCAGTTATGTGAAGTCAGTTATGTGATGTCAGTAATGTTAAAGCAGTACTGTGAAATCTAGATCATCTTGGTAAATATTCAGCGTAACAGCATTGTGAACAAGCCCCTAGTAGCTCCGCTCTCCGCAAACCCTCTCAGTACTGATGGTAGCTGTTGCCATTTGGTTAACTACTCGTCTTGCCTTTCCCCAGAGTCTGGAGTTTCGCCTAGATCCCGTGGACTCTGGGAAATCAGTAGCCTGTACAACCTTTGAAGGCGTAACTTGTAACAGCTCTACAAGCTTAGTGTCGACTGCAGTTGGTGTAGAAATACAAATGTGACCAGTTTCAACCTGCCTTGGTTTTGTTTGTGGACTTGGTTACTCTGCAACAAGTTCAATAGCTGAGATTGAATTGTAGTCTCGGGGTTAAAGGCTGAAACTGAATTGTAGTCTCGGGGTTAAAGGCTGAAACTGAATTGTAGTCTCGGGGTTAATGGCTTTTGTGTTTAGTTCTCGCCGGGTGAGGAGACTTTTGTGTGTGTGTGTGTTGGTAGTGTTTTATGCACCTGTTTTATTTAGATAATGAAGTGTCAAGATAAAGTTTTATATGAAACCTTTAAGAGCAGAGTTTTGCGACGAGTCTTTGGACCCTCACAAATGCAAACATCAGAGAACAGAGATTGAACAGAAGATCGAAATACAGTTTGCTAAAATCACGACTAGGTACTGGTATCGTGAGACTAAACCGCTTAGGGCATATTGAAAGTTGCCACAAAACATTTAATGCGTATGTAAGACAGTTAATTGGTAGTACACTACGAGGCAGACCAGGCCGAACAGGGGTAGATAACATACAGGCAGACAAACACTTGGAGTCATCAAATAGAAAGAAGGCTGGTCAGAGAGATATCTTTAGCCGTGAACTTCTAGGGCTCCGAATGTTGGAATGTTGAACGAGAAGAATATTATTATCAATTGACTCCACATCAGTGTCCAAAAAAAGCAGATCCTGGTTAATATATATATATATATATATATATCTATATATATATATTATATATATATATATATATATATATATATATATATATCACTCTGCGAAGCTGTAGAGCAACTATACCTCTTGTTTCCATGATGTCAATCTCTCCCGACCTGGGCCAGACTCCATAGACGCTGTCCTTGGGCATCATCCAGATAGCTGCAAGTGAGTACAATAGTTTTTAAAAGTAAAGGACCTTTTTTCCGCGAATTTGGTTTGGTCGGGAGGGGGGAGGGGAGGGGAGGAAATGGAAGGTCTTAGGACTCCTTTTACACGCCTTCAGGCGTATTGAGTATACAGGGGCCTATATATTATATACCACTCGCCACTCGATAGGTCAGTCGGTCATACTGGCAGCCTTTCCTTCCGATGACTTTTACCTGGTACTAATTTAGGGCTGGGTCAAACTGGGGGCCAAAGTCATTTCTGAAACACAAACAGTCTGAGGCTATGTTTGGATTTGAATAGCACAATCTTCGGATCTTTAAGCGCGCGTGAAGGGAGCTGTCATTTGGGCATATAGTTTTTTTTGTAGTACAAACCGTATTTGATTACAGATGTGATCAGTGGACACTTTTAGGGACTTTTTCTCCTAGACTGTTAATGGTGTTAAAAATGATATCAATTATGTTTAACTTGCATGGCCAACGAGAATCACATCTATGCATGTATTAATCAACTCTGTGTGAGTGTGTGTGTGTGTGTGAGTGTGTGTGTGTGTGTGTGTGTGTGCTTGTTTTGGGGAGGCAATCACTTTATAAATGACGTCTGTTCTGTCCCCTTGTCCTAATATTTGATTACCTTTGTGAGCACCCGTTTTATAATGAGCTGCTTTAGTACAAATCATGTTGTGTACACCGCGGTGGGCTGAGGGAAAGGTGAAATGTCGCTTAGAAGGGAGAGGTGGAAAGTAGCTCAGAAGGAAAAGGTGGAAAGTCGCTCAGAAGGAAAAGGTGGAAAGTCGCTCAGAAGAGTAGATTCCTTTTATATCAATAATTATTGGGAAAACAAAATATGTATTCCTTTCCTGCTTTCTTGTCCAAAAGTCCAGATCTTCCGTTCAGAGGCAGAGTTTTGACGTGATTAGCTTCACGTGAGCACACTCGAGAACCACCTAGATACTGGTACTTTAGGCCTGATATATTCCGTCTTCTATCGCGTGTTAAGAAGACCTCTTATTTTGCGAATGTCTATCTAAATGACACAGCTCTCTGTAGTGTAAAGATATACAACGAAGTGAAAAGTAGAGCAACACGCTTCACGATATAACAAACACAAACGGTAAGTGAACGTTGCGGCTACAGAACCTTGATCAGCACATTTCATTTAAAAAAAGAAGAAGTTAAAAATGAAGTAACCGTTACTGCAGTGTAATGTACTGTGACTCTCTTATGGCTCTTTGGGCACTGTACTGGCACATTATTCATACATGTCCGACCTATCTGACCTGTGGTTTCTTTATGTAGTTTAGCACTGGTTTCTTTCCTACCTTTTCTCTGACTGTCATTTCTAAATCCATCCTTTTATGTTAAATGTAGGATTCGTCGTAATAATAACATTACTTTTGTTTCAGTTTTTACCATTAAGTTGTCAATGTCCCCGTTTGGAATAGCAGCATCATTTTAAGGAAAATGATTGATACAACGGGTTTATTCAGTTTTGGTGTCAACTGTTACATTTTGTTGTTGTTGTTGTTGTTATTGTTGCTATATTGGTAATACTGTCCAATGATTACACTTGCCTTTTTGCATACCATTCTATTTGTTTCTTTTTTTCTATCAGATGGTATTATGAACACTGAGACATTTGGGTGCACTTAAGGTTACTCAGTGTAACATTGAAAATCGTTCCAGTGGCCACAGTAGTCACTTGTGCCGTTGTTTGCCTCCCCCTGTTGTACACAAAAACAAGAACTGTTATCAAATTCTGTTTCCACGAAACCGTTTTTAGCCAAGTGAAAACTGACCTGGCCATATCCAGTCTCCCCTGGGAATCCTTGCTCGGACCTCCACTGTTCCGTATCTAATGGCTGGTTGACTGGACACTTTGCCGGACATGACGGGCGGCAGCATGCCATTGGCGCCACTTCTGGAGCAGCCGTAGTCGGCGTTGTTGGTACACAGGCCCCATAGTTCTGTAATACATGGAGATATCAGTTACTGGGAGACATGGGAAGCAATATCAGAGGTAAGTGCATGGGAACTGATGGGCGCTTATAGAGAGAGGAAGAGTTGTGGAAGGGCAATGGATTAACACTAAGTAGATAATGGATAGGTACGTTTTAAAAAGGAAAAAGCTGACTTTTCAAGTACCATTTGTTAGTTCGGTACAGTACTAAGGATTGCGAGTCTAAGGTTATGGGCCGCATGACCTGTGCAGTCCCACGGCCTGTCCAGTTTATATATATAATGCATGTTGTTCTCTTGAGATTATAACATTTGTTGGGACCAAAGTACAAGGACAAACTAGCAACCCCGTCCTTCCCAAAAATGGTGTTAGAGCAATGTGTAACCCAAGGGGGCGTATTGTTCCCAAGATTGTTCCTTGCACATAAAAATGACATTTCAAACAATTGTCCATCCCAAATTCACAATTCGTAATTTTGCAGACGACTAAGCCAATGGAATAGCGAAGGAAATATTAGTACGATAACAACAGGTTACAGAAAGCTTTATCAGTGTAAGAGGAATGATCATAGACATGACTGATGTGTATCAGTGTTAGATAAATGATCAAAGACATGACTCGTGTGTATCAGTGTTAGATAAATTATCAAAGACATGACTGGTGTATATCAGTGTTAGAGGAAGATCAAAGACATGACTGATGTATATCAGTGTAAGAGGAATGATCATAGACATGACTGATGTATATCAGTGTTAGATAAATGATCAAAGACATGACTAGTGTATATCAGTGTTAGATAAATTATCAAAGACATGACTGGTGTATATCAGTGTTAGAGAAATGATCAAAGACATGACTGGTGTATATCAGTGTTAGAGGAATGATCAAAGACATGACTGGTGTATATCAGTGTTAGAGGAATGATCAAAGACATGGCAGGTGTATAACAGTGTTTGAGGAATGGTCAAAGACATGACTGGTGTATATCAGTGTTAGAGGAATGATCAAAGACATGGCAGGTGTATAACAGTGTTTGAGGAATGATCAAAGACATGACTGGTGTATTCCAGGTTAGAAGAATGATCAAAGACATGGCAACAAGTATATCATATGTTAGAGGAATAATCAAAGACCTGACTGTATGTAAAGTCAATGTCTAGAGGAATAATCAAAGACATGGCTGGATGTATATCAGTGTTTGTAAATGATGAATAGCTATGATCAGGTGTATATTCAGTACTTACATAAAACATCTAAACACATCCACATTAAACATAGGTCACTGTTAGAGACATGCCGAAGACATGACTGGTGTATATCAGTGTTAGAGGAATGATCAAAGACATGACTGGTGTATATCAGTGTTAGATAAATTATCAAAGACATGACTGGTGTATATCAGTGTTAAATAAATGATCAAAGACATGACTGGTGTATATCAGTGTTAGATAAATGATCAAAGACATGACTGGTGTATATCAGTGTTAAATAAATGATGAAAGACATGATTGGTGTATATCAGTGTTAGATAAATAATCAAAGACATGACTGGTGTATATCAGTGTTAGAGGAATGATCAAAGACATGGCTGGTGTATATCAGTGTTAGAGGAATGATCAAAGACATGATTGGTGTATATCAGTGTTAGAGGAATGTTAGAGGGATGATCAAAGACATGGCTGGTGTATATCAGTGTTAGAGGAATGATCAAAGACATGGCAGGTGTATATCAATGTTAGAGGAATGATCAAAGACATGGCAGGTGTATATCAGTGTTAGAGGAATGAATAAAGACATGACTGATGTATATAGGTGAGGATAAAACAACATAGGTGTTCTCCCTCTGAAATAAAAAAAATAAAATAAAAACATCTAGTTGAATGGAAACATATTCCTCTAAAAGAACAATCATAAATTCCTAGGCGCCACATTTGATTGCCGCCTGTCATGAAAGAAACAGGTAGCGGTAAGTCCAAGTCGAACAAGAAAACGGCCAAGAATGGCTTTCATGAGAAAACTTGCTGGTGCAGCATTGAAAGCCCAAGAGAAAGTTCTCAAAAAGCTATACACTGGACAAGTAAGTACAGTCCCTGAATAAGGTTTTGCAGTGTGGACAATAGAAGCTAAGTAAAACTTTATCCAAAAAAAAAACTGTAGTCTAAAATCAAGGAGGGAGGATTATAACTGGAAACAACGCCTATTAGTGAACTAGAAAAGATCTCATGTGTGTGACCGGTGGAGGATAGAAGAACCTAGCAACAAGTAGAACAATGTAAAGAATGACAGGTCACCTCATGTATCAAAGGTTTAATGGTCTAGGAAGGGGAAGGCTAGAGAGAGAGAGAGAGAGAGAGAGAGAGAGAGAGAGAGAGAGAGAGAGAGAGAGAGAGAGAAAACCTCTTTGTAGAGACTGCAATTGCTAAGATCAGGAAAGATTCTATACTTAACATATTAACATCTAAACCCGTCCACATTACACACAGGTTCCATGCTTAGGGACAGCCGCATCTGCCTGAGTTGATAAATATATTCCATGACCTCCAAACTGACGCAGTTTACATGGATGCTGGGAAGAGTTGGACACACAGTTTATATGGATGCTGGGAAGAGTTGGACACACAGTTTATATGGATGCTAGGAAGAGTTAGACACGCAGTTTACATGGATCCTGGGAAGAGTTGGACACACAGTTTATATGGATGCTGGGAAGAGTTGGACACACAGTTTATGTGGATGCTGGGAAGAGTTGGACACACAGTTTATATGGATGCTGGGAAGAGTTGGACACACAGTTTATATGGATGCTGGGAAGAGTTTGGACACACAGTTTATATGGATGCTAGGAAGAGTTGGACACACAGTTTATATGGATGCTAGGAAGAGTTGGACACGCAGTTTACATGGATGCTAGGAAGAGTTGGACACGTAGTTTACATGGATGCTAGAAAGAGTTGGACATACAGTTTATATGGATGCTAGGAAGAGTTTGACATACAGTTTATATAAATGCTAGGAAGAGCTGGACACACAGTTTAAATGGATGATGGGAAGAGTTGGACATACAGTTTAAATGGATGCTGGGAAGAGTTTGACACACAGTTTTTTAAAGAATGCTGGGAAGAGTTGGACACACAGTTTATATGGTTGCTAGGAAGAGTTTGACATACAGTTTATATGGTTGCTAGGAAGAGTTGGACATACAGTTTATATGGTTGCTAGGAAGAGTTTGACATACAGTTTATATGGTTGCTAGGAAGAGTTGGACATACAGTTTATATGGTTGCTAGGAAGAGTTTGACATACAGTTTATATGGATGCTAGGAAGTGTTGGACACACAGTTTACATGAATGCTGGGAAGAGTTGGACATACAGTTTATATGGTTGCTGGGATGAGTTGGACATACAGTTTATATGGTTGCTAGGAAGAGTTGGACATACAGTTTATATGGTTGCTAGGAAGAGTTGGACATACAGTTTATATGGTTGCTAGGAAGAGTTGGACATACAGTTTATATGGTTGCTAGGAAGAGTTGGACACGCAGTTTATATGGTTGCTAGGAAGAGTTGGACATACAGTTTATATGGTTGCTAGGAAGAGTTGGACATACAGTTTATATGGGTGCTAGGAAGAGTTGGACATACAGTTTATATGGATGCTAGGAAGAGTTGGACACACAGCTTACATGCATGCTGGGAAGAGTTGGACATATACCTGAACGCATGCAGGTAGCAAATACAGCTGAACACATACATTGAAGTAGCATAGTAGAAATACATTAATACAGTAGAAAACTCATCATAATTTCCTGTTTCTATTGTTTACATGTTTATATAGGCGGACAAAAGATATAAATACCAGCAACGTCCATTGTCCCAGTCTTGAGGAAATTTTCGTCAAATCTGGGGTCATTGACCGTTGGCACCTGATAACACAGAATGTTTAGTAAGTTATAGCCAGTCGTGTTAGCATTGGTGTACATTTCATTTCTGAAAGACAGTGTTGTAACATGTTATTGCTCACAGACAGTGTTGTAACATTTCATTACTGACATACAGTGTTGTAACATTTCATTACTGACAGACAGTGTTGTAACATTTCATTACTGACAGACAGTGTTGTAACATTTCATTACTGACAGACAGTGTTGTAACATTTCATTACTGACAGTGTTGTAACATTTCGTTGCTGGCAAACAGTGTTATAACATTTAATTGCTGAGAGACAGTGTTATTACATTTCATTGCTGAGAGACAGTGTTATAACTTGCTGACAAACAGTGTTATAACATTTCATTGCTGAAAGACAGTGTTATAACTTGCTGACAAACAGTGATATAACATTTCACTGCTGAGAGACAGTGTTATAACTTGCTGACAAACAGTTTTCATTGCTGAGAGACAGTGTTATAACATTTCATTGCTGACAGACAGTTTTGTAACATTTCATTACTGGCAGTGTTGTAACATTTCATTGCTGAGAGACAGTGTTGTAACATTTCATTGCTGAGAGACAGTGTACATACAGTGGGAGGGACTAGCTGAGCGGCTAGTCAGTAGAGGATGTGAACGTTATTTGGCTTACAGGGAAAGGACAGGCGACCTTTTAATCAATTTACAACTGGTACCATCAAATGGGGAACTCTTCGTGGCTGCTGAGAAAGGCGACTGAAGCATGTATTGAAATGTCTCGAGTGCAGCGATAGCAATTCATTCATGCAATCAATATTTCATTCATTCAGTGTTCAGTCAACCAGAAGATCGCTCCTTCTTTCCTTACATGAAAAAAGGAACACTTTGTACAGATCATTATCATCATCAAGTGCCTTGCTAGCTGGACACAGATCTCGGTCGTTGGTGTTCTGGATCAATTCCACTGATGCCATTCTTCCACACCACTGTCTTAAGCTATCCACCATCATTTCTCTTGGTCTGCCTCTTCGACTAGTGATCTTTCCAGTCGTCACGATATTTTACTTGTGCAGATGACACATCAGTAAGATGTCATTGATGTCCTAAGAAATGCATCATTTAGCACTCAGATATCTCAAGATAACGTTGATGTGGCTCATAGATGTCCTAAGATAATGATAATCTAGCACATATATGATAGATATTTTAGATATAGATGACAAATATCGCTCATGTTGACATGGCTCATAGATGCCACTTAATGTTGATGTGGCTCATAGATGTCCCAATAATGTTGCATATATGACATGTTGATGGTATAGATGTCCCACTTTGATGTGGCTATGAAAGGTTGCATATAATGTTGATGTGGTCATAGACCCATGGGAGACATGTGGTTCATAGATGACACCTAATGGTGAAGATGTCTCAAGATAATGTTGATGTGGCTCATAGATGTCCCAAGATAATGTTGATGTGGCTCATAGATGTCCCAAGAAATGTATAATTTAGCACTAGATATGACAAGATAACGTGATGTGGCTGCATACATGACACAGTGTGGATAATGAGCACATTGGTATCCATAAAATATCGCTTGACACATAGTGATGACACAAAATGCAATAGATGACATGTGGTGTCATGGGAGACATGGGTTGGATGAGCAGAGACCACAGATGGACGCATGTCATTAGATGACATGTTTCATATATGACATAAGTACCTACTGCATAGGTGACACGTGATAATGACACTTGATTACACTTAACACAAATGACATATAGTGAAGATGTACGCTTGTCATTAGTCACACTTGTAGCACGTGGCATATGGCAAATGCTATAGATGACATGTTGTAAAGATGACACATATCATAGATGACACGTGGTGGGGCTGACGCATTGGAATATACGACAGTTGTGATGGACAACACTGAACACTTACTGGAGCCAAGTACAGGTTTCCGTCACGAGTATACACGTTCTTCTTGTCATTGGTGTACACCTGAAACTCCCAGTTCTGGGAGACAAGAAGACAGCATCTTTTATAAGAGAAGTCTCGGCAGAACAATGGCAACAGCCTCAAGGACACAGGCAGATATATTGTGCATGTTCATTGTGCTTGATAATAATAGTGTCTAGCTCCTTCTCCTCCTTTTCTTTCTCTTTTACCCCTCCCCCAGTCAACCGTATTGTCCTCCTCATAACACATAGACATACTGAGTCTAAGTATAGGCTCTTCCCCTGTCGTCAGGCGAAAACATTTCCCCTGTCGCCTAACATAAACATTCTCCCTGTTGTCAGACATAAACATTCCCCTTTTCGTCAGACATAAACATCTACCCTATCGTCAGACATAAACATACCCTCTGTCGTCAGACATAATCATTCCCCCTGTCGTCAGACATAAATATTTCACCTGTCGTCAGACATTACCATTCCACCTGTCGTCAGACATTAACATTCCCCCTGTCGTCAGAGATAGACATTCCCCCTGTCGTCAGAGATAGACATTCCCCCTGTCGTCAGAGATAGACATTCCCCCTGTCGTCAGAGATAGACATTCCCCCTGTCGTCAGAGATAGACATTCCCCCTGTCGTCAGAGATAGACATTCCCCCTGTCGTCAGAGATAGACATTCCCCCTGTCATCAGAGATAGACATTTCCCCTGTCGTCAGAGATAGACATTCCCCGTGTCATCAGAGATAGACATTCCCCCTGTCGTCAGAGATAGACATTCCCCCTATCGTCAGAGATAAACATTTCCCCCATCATCAGACATAAACCTTCCCCCCATCATCAGACATAAACATCCCCCCTGTCATCAGAGATAGACATTCCCCCTGTCTACAGAGATAAACATTCCCCCTGTCATCAGAGATAAACATTCCCCCTGTCGTCAGATATAAACATTCCCCCTGTCGTCAGATATAGAATTTCCCCCATCATCAGACATAAACATTCCCTCTGTCGTCAGACATAGACATTCCCCCTGTCGTCAGAGATAGACATTCCCCCTGTCGTCAGAGATAGACATTCCCCCTGTCGTCAGAGATAGACATTCCCCCTGTCGTCAGAGATAGACATTCCCCCTGTCGTCAGACATAAACATTCCCCCTGTCGTCAGACATATACATTCCCCCTGTCGTCAGACATAAACATTCCCCCCGTCGTCAGACATAGACATTTCCCCTGTCGTCAGACATATACATTCCCCCTGTCGTCAGACATATACATTCCCCCTGTCGTCAGACATATACATTCCCCCTGTCGTCAGACATATACATTCCCCCTGTCGTCAAACAAATACATTCCCCCTGTCGTCAGAGATAGACATTCCCCCTGTCGTCAGACATAAACATTCCCCCTGTCATCAGACATAAACATTCCCCCTGTCATCAGACATAAACATTCCCCCTGTCATCAGACATAAACATTTCCTCTGTCATCAGACATAAACATTCCCCCTGTCATCAAACATAAACATTCCCCCTGTCATCAGACATAAACATTCCCCCTGTCGTCAGACATAAACATTCCCCCTGTCATCAGACATAATTTCCCCCCATCATCAGACATAAACATTCCCCCTGTCGTCCCTGCTGCCTTCAGGTATAGACACTCTCTCTACCTTCAGACATAGAGACACTCCCTGCTTTCAGAGACACACACTTACTGCTTGCAGACATACACACACCCTCACCTTTAATCACAGGCACTCCCTATCTTCAAACATCGACACTCCATCGACCTTGAGACATACAAAATCTCCCTATTTTCGGACGTAGACACTCCATCTACCCTCAGACATAGATACTCTCCCTACCTTCATTTATAGACACTCACCCTGTCTTCAGACATAGACACTCCCCTTACCTTCATTTATAGACACTAACCCTGTCTTCAGACATAGATACTCTCCCTACCTTCATTTATAGACACTAACATTGTCTTCTGACATAGACACTCCTCCTACATTTTAACATAGACACTCACCCTGTCTTTTGACACATACACTCTCCCTACCTTCATTTATAGACACTCACACTGTCTTCTGACATAGACACTCTCCTTACCTTCATTTATAGACACTCACCCTGTCTTCTGAAATAGACACTCCTCCTACATTTAGACATAGACACTCACCCTGTCTTTTGACATAGACACTCCTCCTACATTTAGACATAGACACTCCCACTACCTTCATTTATAGACACTCAGCGTGTCTTCAGACATAAACACTCCGACTACCTTCATTTTTAGACACTCACCCTGTCTTCTGACATAGACACTCCCCATACCTTCATTTATAGACACTCACCCTCTCTTCTGACATTGACACTCCTCCTACATTTAGACATAGACACTCTCCTTGCCTTCACACATACAGTTACACTGCCTTTGAGCTGTGTGACCCCGTCTCCGGACACAGAAATGCATCACATCTCTAAACTCACCTGACATTTCAAATAGACGAATACCCCACTACCCCTACTTTCAAAAATAGACACATGCCCTGCTTCAGAACATAGACACAAACCAGACCACCAAACATAGAAACATACCCTGCCTCCAAACATAGACACCTCCACTTTCCAGGTATGCATGTTCCAAGGATCAAACTCCTGGTTAAAGTCCTCTCTGAACAGAACCGCTCGGATGCGTCTGGAGCCGGGTAGGATAACATTCTGGGTATCTGGCAGAGAATATCAATCAGTCACACAACAATCAGTCAGCATGCCTGTCTATGTCTATCTATCTATCCATCTATCTATCTATCTATCTATCTATCTATCTATCTATCTATCTATCTATCTATCTATCTATCTATCTATCTATCTATCTATCTATCTATCTATCTATCTATCTATCTATCTATCTATCTATCTATCTATCTATCTATCTATCTATCTATCTATCTATCTATCTATCTATCTATCTATCTATCTATCTATCTATCTATCTGTCTATCTATCTATCTATCTATCTATCTATCTATCTATCTATCTATCTGTCTATCTGTCTGTCTGTCTGTCTGTCTGTCTGTCTGTCTGTCTGTCTGTCTGTCTGTCTGTCTGTCTGTCTGTCTGTCTGTCTGTCTGTCTGTCTGTCTGTCGAGTCGTACCTGCAGTAAGAGTGTGGCGAGTGGTGGTAATAGCCAGTCCATTCTTATAGTGGACATCAGCGTATGCGGTAATGGAGTGGACGTGCTCGGTGATATCTCTGGAGAACTGCCATCCGAAACCTGGAAGGGAAGCAAACCGGATTTTTGGTTGATAGAAACAAACACAATAGTTGCATATAATTTTTCACGGTGACGGTGCAATGGCAAACTACCAACATTCTGACTTTGTGCTGTTCTGGGTATATTGTATGTTGTTAGGCTCCAGCCGAGAAGGGCAGGCTGGGGATGGAGGGCGCCCCCGCGTCATGTTTTTCTTTAAGTTGGCGACATTGAGACGAGGGTCTAGTCCCCGATGATCACTCGGTGCCCGATAAGTTACGTGCTCAGAATCACAATGGTCGCCTTTACTTCCTGAGACGTTACCTATCAGACATTGAAGCTGGGCTGATTAAACAACGTCCTCCATCCTGAAGGTTGGAATACCTGACCTGCGGGCAGACAGACATCAGTGGCAATTATGTCAAAGAGCTAATTGAGATTATGACTTGGTTATCAGAACGTGACAGACAATTTCATAATGTCTATCCAAATGTTGGTCCCTAATGTTCTGCACCAGTTCTGTTGCTGGCATTTATCTTCGCCATGTCTGAGACCGCCCGAAAAGAAAGAACGGTACTATCTTAGGTCTCTCTCGACAAATATTAACCTACTGTCTCGGCTGAAATATTTCTCTTTCTACTGTCCATGGTATCCCAAGTTATTTTACATTCCTTTATTTCTTTTTCCACTGTCTTTCTCTAGGTTTTTCTTTGGTCAACCAGTCTGTTGTTGTTTTTTTTTTTTTCGTCTATCGGAAAGCTGTCGTCGAAAAAATTATTAATAAAAAACAGTGACACAAACAGATCGACAGTAGTACAAACAGGCCAACAGTAATACAAACAGGCCGACATTAATACAAACAGGCCGCCAGTGACACAAACAGACCGACAGTAGTACAAACAGGCTAACAGTAATACAAACAGGTCGACAGTAATACAAACAGGCCGTCAGTGACACAAACAGACCGACAGTAGTACAAACAGGCCAACAGTAGTACAAACAGGCCAACAGTAATACAAACAGGCAGTCAGTAACAGGGACAGGCCGTCAGTAGTACAAACAGGCAAACAGTAATACAAACAGGCCGACATTAATACAAACAGACCTACAGTGACACAAACAGACCGACAGTAGTACAAACAGGCCAACAGTAATACAAACATGCCGACAATAATACAAACAGGCCGACAGTGACACAAACAGACCGACAGTAGTACAAACAGGCGGACAGTTACACCCACAGGCCAAAAGTGACACAAAAAGACCAATATTAATACAAACAGGTCGCCAGGGGCGTATCAGGCACATGATGTTGGGCTTAGATTTGTAAAGACCAGTTGGCGCATAGTGTATGATGTGGTCAATGCCACACGGGCCGCATTTACTTCCCATGATGTTACATCGTAGCCATTTTAGGCTGGGCCAATCTGGGAGCCAAGACCGATCTGTGCAAATTGAAACCTTGGACAACAGAGAAAGACAAAATCTTGATCTAAACATAAAGATCCTGGAGTTGACATACTTGTGCGAACAGCCCTTGCCGTGTGGATTGGTCCGTGGATGGCGTAGTGAAAAACCACGTCGCGGATCTCACTGTCAGTATCTGGACAATGGATAGACATAGTCAGTGAGGGACAGGAGTGGCCCAACAAATAGATAATAGAGGATGGGGGGGTAGGGGGGGTCTAACTTACTATCTTCTATGGCTGGTAGTTTAGGGCTCAAATTACCACCCATAGAAGATTTAAGTTTAACCAAGTCTCCCCCTCCCCCCCCCCTTCCTTTTTTCTGTAAAATTGTGTAATAAAAAAAAAAAATTTTAAGTTATTATGATTATGGTCTGTATAACCAACGAATGTAGTAACAAATTTCAAATTAATAAATTAATTAGTATCTAAAAAAAAAAAAAAGGAGTCTATATTTTGCGGGAGGTGGCTCAGACTCCCATAGAGCCAGGGCAAATTTTCTGGTGGCGAGTGAACTCAACCCAACTGATAATTATGGGGAGGGGGGGGGGGGGGGGGAGAGGGGGTTCGGCGTTTGAAGGTGCCTCAGGCAGCAGCATCCGACCCCTCTGGTGGGAGATCATTTGTCAGAAACTGCTGGAAACGCAAGAAAACATTCACTCTGTGTGTACGATGTCGTCATCAATGTCAACTTCGGGTACTGTGATGGCTGGTGCAGGCGATTATACTTCTTCAGTCGTGCGCTCACTACAGCATGTATCAGCTAGTGGGCCATATCCTTCCATTCAATGACTAGAAGCTCTCATCAATCTACTCTTATGGTCTTCATATATCTGGTTTTCTCCCTCTTTTTCTCCCCTCTTTCCATTTTCTCTTAATGCGGAAAAAGGGAAACAATGGGACTGTCAGCTTTTGATGTTTGGGATACAAATTTTGTCTTCGGATCTTGCACTTTTCCAGAACGTTTGGAACTTAGAGAACTGATTTTGACTGCCCAAAAAAATTGCAAAAATGTTCTGTTAAATCAAAATCTGGGAATTAAGTGCATCTTTCAGCCTATTTACTAATTGTCCAGGAATTACAGATAGAACAATGTTGTTTGCAGTTACAACAGCGCTCATGAATGGTGGAATCTGAAAAACAAAAGTGAATTTATTTTTACAAAATACAAAACAATAAAAAAGGTATGTAACTTTCATGCAAACAAATCATACACACACCCACACACACACACACAAACAAACAAACACACACACACATATATATATATATATATATATATATATATATATATATATATATATATATATATATATATTCATATGTGTATACACACACACAAAACATACATATACACACAGAAGTATGTATGTATGTATGTATGCATGTACGTATGTATAAATAAAGTCACCTGGAAGAAGCAGTTTCAAGTGGGGAGTTGAGTACTCAATCTGCACACGTAGCTGTGCCTGTGTGGCACACACGCCTGTCCAGAGTGAGCAGTAGCAAACGCAACATTGTATCTGCAGAGTAAGCAGACATGATAATGCTTGACAACCAATTGTATTTTAGGCACACAAAATTGAGAGCTAGTTCATTTTTTCTTCTACTTCAAAGTTTTTCTTTTTCTTCTTCTTCATTTTATATTATTATCACTGTTTATCATTATAGTTTTTTTGGTTTTTATTTATCCTCCACCTATTCTCATCACTTCTCCTGCTTTTTTTTTCTTCTTCTTCTTTTTCTTCTTCTTTATCTTCTCTCCTTCTTCTTCTTTTCTGTTTATGCTATGTATATACTACCCAAAAAAATTCGAAACACGTTCATATCTCAGCTATATGAATTAATTTGCTTGTTTAATGTTGCAGTATACACGTGATTGTGGATGATTGCATGCAATCACTGGTGCTCCCTGTAGTCTGTATCTTCTTTGATGCAGCAAACAGGCACATACATCCGACTGCACTACTGTCTGATGAGGAAGACTTTAAACGAGAGCGTTCTTGGGCTTGTGATAAGTCTCGATAGCCTCTTGTCAGTGACATTGCTGCTGAGACTGGGACCTTTCCATCTTATATTTCCCAAGAAAGTCGACGATCCAATGTTGCTATTCCCATTACAGAGACTGCGTAGAATAAAAAACAATTGTTGTGATAAGATAGTTCTGCACAAACATGAGGACTGACACTGATGCGGAGCCACGTAGAATAAAAAACAATTGTTGTGATAAGTTAGTTCTGCACAAACATGAGGACTGACACTGATGCGGAGCCACGTAGAATAAAAAACAATTGTTGTGATAAGTTAGTTCTGCACAAACATGAGGACTGACACTGATGCGGAGCCACGTAGAATTACCAGACAAAAGAAACATGCCAGGGTAGGATCACATAAATGTGACACCAGTCTCAAGTAGGATCACATGAATGTGACACCAGTCTCAAGTAGGATCACATGAATGTGACACCAGTCTCAAGTAGGATCACATGAATGTGACACCAGTCTCAAGTAGGATCACATGAATGTGACACCAGTCTCAAGTAGGATCACATGAATGTGACACCAGTCTCAAGTAGGATCACATGAATGTGACACCGGTCTCAAGTAGGATCACATGAATGTGACACCGGTCTCAAGTAGGATCACATGAATGTGACACCAGTCTCAAGTAGGATCACATGAATGTGACACCAGTCTCAAGTAGGATCACATGAATGTGACACCAGTCTCAAGTAGGATCACATGAATGTGACACCAGTCTCAAGTTGGTTAAACTGATGACAACGATGATGATGATGATTGTGATAGAGCGAACAATAGAAAACACATGTCAGACACTTACAATTTTGTGTACTAGACGTATAGTTTAGGTATGGCGTTATTGTCTGAAAGTTCCACTTATATGCTCAATTATTATTAACTTGTTATTTGTTTTTTTATGTCTTTTTTTGTACTTGACCGAGATTCTGCCACAGATAACAGCTTCTGTTTTTTTTTAAAGATAAGAATTTAACAGAACAGAACGGCCCTGACGTTGTCTTGTTTTCAGGACAGTGATTGTATTTACCTGCGATATGCTGACGACATCGTTTTGATCGCCGAAATTGAAACACATCTCAAAAAATGATTAACATAATTTTAACAGAAAGTCAAAGCAAGTGTCGTGGTTTGAACAGCAGAACCAAAGAATTACCCGTAATTACAAGGATATCTCACCATCTTGCAAGAAATGCATAATTAAAGTACATGGTACAAACCTCAAGCTAGCTGATATGTTTAAGCACTTGGGTACCATGATGACATGTTAAATGTAGAATAACTCAAACAAAGGCGGCATCTTACGAAATAAAGACTATTGTATAAAATCTTTCTTTGTAGTTGAGACGAGAAAGAGAATTCTTAAAAACAATATGTATCATATCCTGATATACAGATGTGAATCATGGACATTAGGTAATCTAGTGAAACATTATTTATAAGCGGCGGAGATTTTTTTTTTTTTTAACAGAAGGATGAGAATACAACGAAAAGCTAAAAAAAGCACTGGGGATATCTTGAAAAAAAAAGAGAACTGATCGCCTGCATCAAGGGAGACAATCTAAATCCTGTATCGGGGGGAAACAATCTACATCCTGCGCCAGGGGGAGACAGTCTACATCCTGCGTCAGGTTAGACAATCTACATCCTGCGTCAGGGGGAGACAATCTACATCCTGCGTCAAGGGGAGACAATATACATCATGTATCAGGGGGAGACAATCTACATCCTGCGTCAGGTTAGACAATCTACATCCTGCGTCAGGGGGAGACAATCTACATCCTGCGTCAAGGGGAGACAATATACATCATGTATCAGGGGGGGGGGGCAATCTACATCCTGCATCAGGGGGAGACAATCTACATCATGTATTAGAAGGAGACAATCTACATCCTGTATCAGGGCGAGACAATATACATCCTGCATCAGGGGGAGACAATCTACACTTTTTGGCAATGCCAGGAGAAAGGAAAACGGAAGTACATCATGTCAGTGGGTAAACTGGAGGGGGAAAAGATGCAGAGGGGGATCGAGAGAAAATATGCTGGACAGTCTGATATCGTGGTATGGAGGATTATCTGTTGTATCTGATTATCTGTTGTATCTGATTATCTGTTCTTTGAGTTGATTACAAGTACACTGGACAGAAGTTTGTGGGCATACATAACTACCAACGCCACTACCAACTCCCCTGGGCATGGACTTTGAGGATACATGGCTCAAGGATCACCAGCCTTCTTTAAGTGACTGTTATTTATAATTAGTGACAAAAACATTATAATTAGTCACAAAAACAATGTATACCTTTTTGTCTCTTGTACTGCCATCATTAGATATCTTTGAAGATGTCGAAATCGTACAATTGATCAGATCTTTAGATATCATTGTCAATACGCTAGCAACCGTTTTTTTTTTCAGTTGTTGATTTTTTTTTTTTTTTTATAGTTTTGTCCATATGTAGATAAGACTTGCATAATAATTCTACTTCTACTATTATCTCAAGGTCAGTCAGCATTTACGGTAGTTACAACCTAATTTAGTACATTTGTACAGTAATAATTCTTCTTTTCTGACATGATTTTTTTTTTAAATTCTGGATGTGATTCTGCTGTACCACAGATTCGGAAAAAAAAGCATCTAGATAATAGCAGTAACCGTGGGCCAGTTTCAAAACATCCAAGGATAATCTGCGTTCCAGTAACGCTAAACATATTATTACAATATTATACCAAGGGGGGCCTGTTGCCTGCCTGTAACGAAAGGTACTGGAAAAGCCTTTACGTATTACATACATAATTAAACCAAACACTCTTGTCTGTCATGCTTGATCTCTTAGCACTCTATAGTACCAAAACATGGTCAGCTTATTCACATCAGGAGAAATGGTTCAATTGCTTTCATGTGCGATGTCTGCATGCGATAGCTGGTATTTAGTGGCAAGACAAGATCACCAACGACTAACTGGGGACATCCTTCAAAGTCAGGAGGCAAGAGACCACAAGTCTGCATACAGATAAGCCAGACCTGTGAAACGGATATGCACGCTACACTCAGGCTCTGGAGCAAGACTAAAGTCCGAGGTGGACGAACATCCAAACCTTTCTGCCGGAGTTTACAACGAAGAAGAAGAAGACCACAGTTTTTTTCAATGCCTAGCTTCCGAAGGCTCATGTGGTTGGGTCACACCTGGAGAATCGTGGTGCTAGCGCCCTTAAGGACATCCTCTATAGTGAGTGACACATTGGAAGAAGATGTCGTGGTGGACCTGTATGACCATGTAAAGATGTCGTGGTGGACCTGTATGACCATGTAAAGATGTCGTGGTGGACCTGTATGACCATGTAAAGATGTCGTGGTGGACCTGTATGACCATGTAAAGATGTCGTGGTGGACCTGTATGACCATGTAAAGATGGCGAGGTGGACCTGTATGACCATGTAAAGATGTCGTGGTGGACCTGTATGACCATGTAAAGATGTCGTGGTGGACCTGTATGACCATGTAAAGATGTCGTGGTGGACCTGTATGACCATGTAAAGATGTGGTGGTGGACCTGTATGACCATGTAAAGATGTCGTGGTGGACCTGTATGACCATGTAAAGATGTGGTGGTGGACCTGTATGACCATGTAAAGATGTCGTGGTGGACCTGTATGACCATGTAAAGATGTCGTGGTGGACCTGTATGACCATGTAAAGATGTGGTGGTGGACCTGTATGACCATGTAAAGATGTGCGCAAGCGGGATATGAAAGATAGGGGTAATGATGTCCCTAACGCGGGGACAAAATATCATGGACCGTGATTCATGGCGCAGGAGGGGGTATCAGGAAGGGAGTCAGACTAAAGGATAATGTCACTGCACAAAGGTGAAGAGCTGGTGTCTGACAAGAAGCACACTCAATACATGTCATGGCAACGAGGTCCTGGAACTGTATTATATTGACGTTGTTGTTATTTTCCTTTTTATTGTGACGTGTTTTTTTTTTCCTTCTCTCCATTCAAATCGCATACAATGGCGTCTGATGGAAATTAGGCATTTGGTATAAACATTCAGAATGCTAGGGTATATGCATTGAATGTTACAGTCAGCTGCGGTAAAGCAGTGGCTAGACGTGTCTCTTTCGCCTGAAGGTATAGATGTCGAATCAATGTCGATGTGGATTTTGTGGATACTAGGAATCACTTTGACCTAATCATTTGTGGAATATTAAATGGTCAAAGCTAACTACAATCGACCTAGCACCATATGGCCTTTGCCCTCAATGGCGTCAAAAGGGTTCATTTTGTGAAGTTCTCCACTTGACTTGATGTCTGACCCTGTGAGCATTTCTATATAAGCTAGTAAAATAACTGGCCGTCGTTTGCCTTCTATGTAAACTTCGTAAACATTGATATAAGAGATTGTACAGACATTTTGGTCTGTTGTTCCAAAAACGTTATGAAGTGACTTGTCGACCGCCGTTAGAAATCATGCTTCTCCACATCTTGCGATCATCAACATCATGTGCCAGTCAGTTCGAAGAACAATCATCTCTCTGCGCCATGACAAAAGGCTTTCAACAATCTTCTTTGGATCTCTATTTCTGATTTCCCTAAATCTGTTCATTTGACACAACCTAGTCCGTCCGTCCGTTTGTTTTCCCATAGAGAGATTGTGACTGCCTGTTTCTGATGTTAATAAGAAGATTTCTTCATGTGTTGGTCTCTTTCAAAATATTTAAATGACTAATCTCGTTGTAGGAAGACGTTTCGGCGGGTTCTGTCACACCGCGCATCTTCTAGGAATTCTAACCCAAGCTAGAAGTACATGAAATCGTCAGATGTTTTGCTGAACAAAAGACGCTGCCGTTAATAGCTGTGCTGAAACATTACGTCTATTGGTGAAGGCAGAGGAGGAGGACGAAACCACAGCTCTTTATCCTGAAGAAATATGTTTGTAACCTTTCCTTCTACAAATCCACACTGTCTTTAACCTTTCCTTCTCAGATCCCCTTTGTTTGTACATTTTTTTGGGGTGGGGGAGAATGTAGTGAGTCATTTTCTCCTCATTAATTTATGCCCGATAGATGACGTCAGTAATAGATGTAAGACGAATGTTTTGACTGGCTGAGATAACACGAGATTTATGTCTTGAGTTTCATGAGAGACATCTGAAAGTCAGGTTTTATGTGAAACATGATTGTTCACAGGATTTGTGTGAAATGTGAATTATCACGGGCCAGACACGACTTTCAACAGTGGGAAATTCGTGAGAATGAATCCAGAATATTCTAGAACAGGATAGATCAGAGGGCTATATAATAGCGAAGAAAAGGTTTGTGAGCAGTCTCGTTTTGGACCTAGGAACAGTGTGCATGGACAGCGATGGATGATGTGTGGATTCAGCAGATGTTTTGTGAGTGAATTTGTTCCAGTCCAACTTGGCGAAGAAAGCTGGCCAGTAACATGTCTGCCGGTCGTCTGAGTGTATCTGTCAGGACAGCTGTTGTGTTTCGTTTGCGATGTTAGTGTAAATCGATTGGGATTTCTGCTTGAAGGTAATATGTGACACTTGCATTATAATGTGTGCCTGGACAGTTGTCAAGTTCATGTGCCGGCTGTGTAAGCCGCGAGTGGAAGATTAAAGTACTGGAACAGTATCGTGTGTTTTTTCCAGTCGTCCATTTTTTCTGCTCGTCGTGTGATGTCGGTTTTGTGAGTTGGCAGCGAGCGTGCGATGAGGCGAGCCAGTAGAAGATAAAAGAGAATCATCGCAGTACCCCTTCCTTCTACGAATTCCCATTGTTTGTACCCTTTTCTTAATCAAATTCACGCTATTTGTACCTTTCCTTCTACAAATCTATATTGTTTATACCCTTTCTTTCTACAAATCCACATTGTTTGTACCCTTTACTTCTACAAATCCACATTGTTTGTACCCTTTACTTATACAAATCCATAGTTTGTAACCTTTTTTCTTCAAATTCATATTTTTGTAACCTTTTATTCTACAAATCCACATTGTTTGTACCCTGAACTTCTACAAATCCATATTGTTTGTACCTTTTTTTTTTTTTTTTTTTACAAATCCACAGTTTTTAACCTTTCTTCTACAAATCCACAATGTTTGTACCCTTTCCTCTAAAAAATCCACACAGTCTGTACCCTTTCCTTCTCAGATCCCCGTTGTTTGTAACTTTTCCTTCTACAAATTCCTACTGTTTGTACCCTTTCCTTCACCAAATCGACACTGTTTGTACTTTTCCATTCTACAAATCCATATGGATTATACCCTTTCTTTCTACAAATCTAAAGTTTGTACCCTTTATTTCTACCAATCCACATTGTTTGTACTCTTTATTTCTACAAATCCACATTGTTTGTACCCTTTCTTTCTACAAATCCACATTGTTTTTACTCTTTATTTCTACAAAACCACACTGTTTGTACTCTTTACTTCTACAAATCCACATTGTTTGTACCCTTTTTTTCTACAAATCCACAGTTTGTAACCTTTCCTTCTACAAATCCATACTGTTCTTTACTAATTTCTGGTTTAATGTTGTTTCTTTTTCTTATATTTTTCAGTAATATTTTTGTCCCATGACTCATCAGACTAGTTTCTTTGGCAGAGCAATAGATATAGATTTTAATAGGTTATTCGCCAGAGCAATTAATATAGATTCTAATAGTTCATTGGCCAGAGCAATAGATATATATTTTAATAGGTAATTGGGCAGAGCAATTGGTATAGATTTTAATAGGTCATTAGGTAGAACAATAGATATAGATTGTATAAGGTCATTAGGCAGAGCAATAGATATAGATTTTAATAGGTAATTAGGTAGAGCAATAGACATATATTTTAATAGCTCACTGGGCAGAGCAGTAAATATCGATTTTAAAAGGTCATTGGTCACAGCAATAGATATCAATTTTAAAAGGTCATTGGTCACAGCAATAGATACAGATTTTAATAGGTCATTGGGCAGAGCAATAGATATAGATTTTTATAAGCCATTATGCAGATCAATAGATATAGATTTTAATAGGTCAGTAGGCAGAGCAATAGCAGATTTTAATAGGTCATTGGGTAGAGCAATAGATATAGATTTTCATCAGTCAGTAGGCAGATCAATAGATATAGATTTTAATAGGTCATTGGGCAGATTCTAAAACCTACCCAGTGATTTGTCCCCTCCAATTTCGCTTATAAAATGTTTCCATTTAGCCTTCTTTACATCTGCTGCATACCTTCTGTCGAAGGCGTACAAGATGGATACTGGCCCTCTAATACTTAAAAGTTTTCAGCGTTCTCACAGCCCTGGCCTGGCTAGCTTTAGAAATCAAGACTGAGTTTGGCATATGGTCACTCCCATGATCGCCTAGGTCACTTCACTTTGTGTCCAGCACTGCTGACTGGGTGACAAACGCCAAATCAATAGCCGTGTCTGCATGACCAGGTCTCGTTGCCATTCTAGTTGCCCTACCATCGTGTATACAGACTACGGCTGCAACCACCATAGCCTCTACTAAAGCATTGTCTTGTATATTTTCCACTATACTGTCTCATGATTTGTTCCGCGCGTTGAAATCCTCACAAATGAGAAGGCTGTTAATCTGGTAATCTGGTAATTTTAATTTCAGCTTAATAGCAAACGGGTCACCCCATCCTTTGCTCCGCTCCTGTGCCAACGAAAAATACACAGAATGTTTATCACAGTCCCTTGTGGAAAGACTGACAAACTGCTGTCTCAGCAAATCTATCATAAACTCGCATTAAAAGCATATGGTAACCATCCGAAGTGCTAAAAGGAGAAGCCTATTACCAGGGATTTCCTTCAACTCTTTGAGCCAGTCTCTTGTTGTTAGCATTATTTCCATGGCGTTATTTCTGTTTTGCACAGTGACACTGTATATTTTCTTATTTTTTTTTTTTTTTTTTAACACGTAGCCTGTGTGGACACGATGTTGGTCGCTAATGTGGTGTTTTGTGTGAACCAAGTTAGTTTTGTTTTCAATAAAATTAAAAAATGTTTAATGTGATAATTATAGTTCTTGTTGTTTTGATTCGGTTTAGGACTTGTAGTTAGTGTGCCTAGTTTTACTGTATCTGCTGATTAGACTTTATTCAAAACATTTCCTGTCACTGTTAAGACACCATTGGTCTTAAACCCCGCCTTACAAACCTATTTTTCTTGTTTCTGAGGCAGCTTGAGAGTGGATCTGGCTTACATTCACCACTACATTACTTGGTGGAGCTCTTGTAGGCCTGGAGTAGAGATGGGTTCAAAGACTAGATTTGTATATTGTCCTCCACAACATCTCTCCCCTTCCTTTACAACATTTCCTTAGGGCTTTGCTTCTTGTGCACTAATATTTTGATATTTTTTCATTCCGTTTCCTTCTCAGTAGCATAATCTAACACTGTTTCTAGAAAGACAGCCAGGTGTCAACAAGTTCAAGTTTACTGGCATCTGAACGAAACTGGTGTTTGGGTATTGATTTAATATAGATGCTCGGCGTGCTCCTGGGGTCATAAACCAACTGTCAAACGATCCCTGGTGTTAGGACTTCCCAGATGGATAGACAGACTTGCTGATGCACTGACATAATACAGACACACAAGCCCGGAAATGATAACTACCAATTAGGCAACAACATATAATTGTTAACATGAACACCGTCAAGATATCGGTTAAACAACATAGATGATCATTTATTTTATAGATGTCTGAATTCAACAAGCTATTTTATGGGTTTCTGAATTCGACATAATCGACAATCAAAGCGGTGTTATCTCCCTGCCAGCTGGGCAACCAACTGCTGCGAGCGTCCCAGAGGTCCTGTGCTGCATGTGGTGAGGTGTTGGCCCATGGTTTTTTGGTGCCCCAGTTGACGTTGTCGGGAAAGAATCCGTTAGTGCCACCAACGGCCACGTTGAGGATCATGTAGAACTAAAAGACATTAACAATTTTGTAAAGTGTGGAAGCTAAAGAAACTCACAGAACGAAAACTTCTTAATCTTCTTCCGGATCACCGGCTGCACACTCCGACAAAAGACCTGGTTATTCGTTTATGTCTGAACTTGAATCCTGTTCCAGGACTTGAGTGTTGCGTAAAGCATCCGTTTTACATGTATGGTTTATTTGTATGCAGACTGTTGGTTCCACCCCTCTCAGGCTGGTACAAACTTGGAAGGAAACGTCTATCCCATCCACGGTCAGCCAAGCCGCCGGTTTGCTCCCTTTATTTTCAAAGGATTACAAATTGGGCACGCAGGCCCTTCAAAGCACTTATTTTTTCAGAGTACCAATGCCTATTATCAATAATGCATGTTATGGATATAATACTAGACGTTAAAGGTACGCTCGTTATATACATTATATAAGAATGCATACACACAAAAAAACGGGTGGTAAGGTAATCACTATTTCGTACACAGTACTATTCGGCCGAATACCGAATAGTTATTAGGTCACATTCTCACGAAGCGATATATTCGGTACAGCCCTAATAAGAATGCACACACACAATCATGTGTACATACACACTCACACACACGCTATACATCTCTACATACATGCACACTAAAATACAGACATACGTAATACATACATACATGCATCTACATACATACACAAACATAAAACACACACACATATACATAAGTAGACATACATGCACACAAACAGAAAACACACACACACACATACATAAGTAGACATACATGCACAAACAGAAAACACACACACACACACATACATAAGTAGACATACATGCACAAACAGAAAACACACACACATACATATATGAACATACATACACAAACAGAAAACACACACACACATACATAAGTAGACATACATGCACAAACAGAAAACACACACACACATACATAAGTAGGCATACATGCAAAAACAGAAAACACACACACATACATAAGTAGACATACATGCACAAACAGAAAACACACACACATACATAAGTAGACATACATGCACAAACAGAAAACACACACACATACATAAATGAACATACATGCACACACATATTCCATACATGCATGCACAAACAGAAAACACACACATACACACATGCACACACATATTCATATACACACACATACATGCACACATGCACACACATATTCCATACATGCACAAACAGAAAACACACACACATACATATATGAACATACATGCACACACACATTCCATACATGCACACCTATGCATGCATACACAGAGCAGTGGCTAGATACAAATCTGCAGACTCGAAGGTCTGAGGTTTAAAACCTCATCAACGTGTATTTGTTTTAAAATAATTTGTCTTTTTTCCCTCAGGTCAGCCTGGTCTAAATAGGTATCAGGGGAAATTCTGATGGGTCAACGAACTTCCATAGCTAAAACATG